AAGGATAAGGGTGTCATGATGGCCTCCAAGGGTCTCCTCAGTCTTTACCGCGATGTTGGTGCGCAGATGTTGAAGAAGCGTGACCGTGGCAAGGAGGCCGCAATGAGTCTTCGCGCTGGTGAGAGACAAGAGAGACGTTACGGTGAGCAAGCGGCTGGCGAAATCGAGGGCCTGGAACTCTTGGCCAAGTGGAAAGATGAGGAGCGCCGCAAGAGGAACATCGAGAACGGTCTTCCATCTGATGCCGAAGATAACGAAGAGGAAAACGATGAAGCCGACTGGGCAGCCTGGAACGTCGAAGATGACGAGGACAGTGATATCGATGGAGAATGGATCAATGTGGAGGACGATGTTGACATTGTACTGAGCGACTCCGAGGATGAAGGCAAGCCGGCATCCAAGAAGGCCAAGCAGGAAGAAGAGGCCAAGAAGGACACCGAAAAACAGGAGGAAGCCGACAAAGCCATTGACTTCATGAAACTGGCCACCACCCGCATTCTCACTCCCGCTGATCTCGCCAAACTTACGGAGCTTCGCGCCCAGGCAGCAGCTGAGGCCGCTCTTCCAGGCAACAAGGGCCGCGTCGCCGCCCCATGGACCTCCCGCCATACCGATGACCCATTGACCGCTGGCGAGATTGAGGGTCTTGCTGCCCTATCTGCCGCCAAGGCCACCCGTGAGGAACGTATTGCCCATGCCAGGGAGGGCAAGACCGATCGCTCTGAACACATGAGCAAGGAGGCTCGTCGCAAGGAGCGCAAGGAGGAGCAAGGAAAGAGTACTACCAACAAGGAGAAGGCTCGCAAGAAGAACTTCCTCATGACGCTGGGTAAAGCGCGTAGCAAGAACAAGAGAAGTTTGGTGGAGACCCGTGCTGTGCTTCGGGCTCATGTCGACCGTGGCAGGAGAGGCGGACGCAGAGGAAACGTTGGCCAGTGATAGGCCTCTTATGTCCTTTAAAAATAATGATTTGTTATATACAGTACATTACTTTTGTTGCAGGCTCGCAGGATAGATTATAAAGAGCATATACTACCCTCATGGCCATGGTTTTACTATATTTGAATCCTCTCAGTGATTATAGAAAGACTATGGAATACTCCGTACTTAGAAAGACTAAGACTGGTATCTTTGTAAAAGAAGTCCACTAATTAAAAGTAGTAGATTGGCTCCAAGACGCGATCTAAGTGGGGGTGGTAATATGCGATCAACGCGTACCGCGTTAAGTGGTCCCGTTGCCCGAGCAGCCCTCGATTTTCCTTTTTCCCATTTTCTTCCCTTTTACACCCCACTACGTCACTTCCTGGACATTTTTGAGAGAATACTACACTGAGATCTGAAATCACATACCTCATTCTATTCAAATCCATATCTCCCGTGTCCCAAACCCCTATTCCAAAATGCCGATCCCACCCAGCACCGACTTGTCGAAGCGTCGACGCTTCCAACCTCCTATCACAACCTTCTTCACATCTGCCTCGGAACCAGTGTCTTCAGATACACCCGCGGTATCGCATCATCACCATTACGCCGCGGCGACATTCTCTGCCCATCCCGTCGTGCCTGCCAAAGTTCAATCCTCACTTCTATCCGTCGGAATGCGGGTCCGGAAATCTGTCGCAGATGGATATAGAACCCACATGTCCAAGACAGAACAAAAGGCCCCACTCCCTACACCTATCGCTCAGATCCCTCGTGCTCAACCTTACCATGGCAGCAGACCTTCTGAGCTGTCGCCGTTTTCTGGCTCTGGCAAATCCTCTTTCGGCCACGATGACTACCTCGTCACTGACGATGGTGACGCATACTCGATCCCACCAAGCAGCCAGGACTCGACTGTGTCACTAGCCTTGGGCGGCCAAAAGCGGGCTTTGGAATTAGATGGTGATATTCTCGTCGATGAGGATGCTGATGAATCATTCAATAATTTCGGCGCATCCTGGCGCGAGAACTCTCATGGACGAGCCATCCTGTCTCCAAATCTGGGCCAAAGTCGACGTATTCTTGCGGTGCGTCACACCAAGATTGAACAGCCCACTATGGAGATGGATGATTTTGAGGAAGCCACGTTCCTCCGTCGCCGCGAGGAAGTTGATGCAGAGGATGTGCGGATGTACGGTGCTTAGACCGTTGGTTCTCGCTTCTCGTTTTCCTTCTGTTATGAGCCACTGCATGGCATGACCTTTTATTTTCTTGCTTGTTCCCGGGGCCTGGAATCGGCTTGGTCCCTTTTACCAGACTTTTATTATACCCCCTGTTGTTCTGTGCTGTACCATATTGTCTTGTATCATTATCTTTTTCCATCTGCAGAGCAGTGAATGTGACTTATCAAGATCGTTATTTCGTATTTTTAGATTACTGTGATCATGTTTTGTAGTTATGTAACTTCAGGGTCTACTCCAACAAGGGCATAGATGTCATGTTCCAAAATAATCAGTGCAATTGTTACCAGGCATCACTTGGACCAGCCGCCCTCGAACCAAGACCGAAATTAATAACACAAAAAATAAAGCAACCAGCCACATTTTGTACATAAAAGAACGATCACCCAATGTTGAATATATCCCTATGTCCCGTAATATAGTCCCCCATTATTTCAAATCACCAGCCTAGCAATCTTGCCCAATATACTCGAATCTTCAAAAATCTCGGAAGTTGGAGAGGAGGATTATTATCTGATAGTACCAAAACGGTTTTCTTTTTCTGAGTACGATGATCATCATTGTTGACAACGTTAGTGGTGTCCTTCAAGGTAGCGCCGAAATCAGTATTAACGTCGCCAAGCTCTCCTAACTCAATATCTGGATCTTCTTGCACATCTTGCCTGAGCGGGTCCCGATTTATTCGATACCGAACGAGGGGAATTATCCAAGTGTCTCTTGAGGCCATGGCTTAAACGTACAGGTGTTTTAGAGATGAAATGTGTTTGATAGAAAAGAGAGGTATGTAGGTAGTATGTCGTGGTTATATATATCTACATCCGTATATGTACTAGTAGCTAATTAACTTTCCACTTCCGTTGTATCACCGCTTCTGCTCACGGAGTAAAGTATATCATGTCGTGGTCAATAGGTTATATACCGGACTGCATTTTCATTCCAAGGTTATGCTGTCAATTGCCTACATATGTAGCAGGGTGTACCGGACTGTAGGCCGATGCCCGATTGGGATGCCCCCGCTTTATGTTTAGAATGACAGGCCATGCTTAATAATGCTCATATTATGCTCGGTGAAGGCCTAGCGTGTGTGCAGTCAGTACTCAGGTCACCGAGTGCTTAGACTGCAGTGTTGATGACCTCGGGACCAACCTTGGAATTCCCAGCCCTGGAGGTGGTTTCGCTCCGCCATTATTAATCCACTCCCGGGCAAACCAGTTTTGTTTGTATAGTTTGTTTCATACTTTACACTGTTTGCGCTGTTTGTGTCAGCTGCATAGTCCGTGGTTTGTACTCCGTATTGATTGATAACTTAGGGCCTAATAAACGCTGATGAAAACCATAAAGAGAATTAACTCTCCAGCTTACCAACCGTTCGGCCTTCCTGGGTGCCGAACTGAGTAATTCATATCTTGATGCTCCCGCCATTGGAGGATACAGGTACTTATAAGCAGACCAACCCTCGATCCTTGTTGTCTCTATATCAAACTATCTTCCTCCAAATCAATCAATCATTAATTCACTCGCCATGTCTCTTGAAAAACTCACTCTCTGGACCCTTAAGGGCCACGCCGGCACACCCAACCCTTGGAAGATCCTCATAATCCTGGAAGAGCTCAAGCTTCCCTACGAGCCCAAGTTGGTCGATCCCGCCGACCTAAAGAAGGAACCCTATGAATCTATTAACCCCAACGGTCGTGTCCCAGCCCTCGAGGACCCAAACACCGGAATCACCATCTGGGAATCCGGCGCCATCCTCGAGTACCTGGTGGATACATACGACAAGGAACACACCATCAGCTTCCCCACTGGCTCGAAGGAGTACTATGAAAGCAAGCAGTGGCTACACTACCAGGTGTCCGGCCAGGGACCATACTTCGGGCAGGCTGCCTGGTTTACGATCTACCACCCCGAGAAGGTCCCCAGTGCGGTGGAGCGCTATGTTAACGAGATCCGTCGTGTTTCGGGTGTGCTGAACCGATCCCTCCAGAACAAGGAGTACCTCATTGGCGGCAAGTACAGCTTTGTCGATGCTGCTTTTGTGCCGTGGTTCGAGGTGGCCGGGCTTCTCTGGTCGAACGAAATAGATCTTGAGAAGAACTTCCCACATGTTAATTCCTGGCTGAACCGTATCAAGGCTCGTCCGGCTGTTGCCAAGACCATTGATGATAAGGCGAAGGCAGCGGCTGCTGCGGAAGGGAAATAAGGCAATGTGATGGAAGATGAAACTCGCAGAGAGTAGGCAAAGTTTTCAGTGTTTTGAATCCAAATATTGAAAAGTACATTTTTCTGCTTAGTGGACCGGCCATGCTCGTATTTTTTGCATGAATAACGCGCCTGGTAGAGTGGCCTATCCCGCTGAGGCCTTCAATGAATTGTAGCACAGTGGAGAAAGCGTCATGATATTCTCATCGCAGGTCGGCCCATCTAGCGGGTCTCTTCCAGGTTTCTATGCTTTCGATGATGATGGTAAGGGGTGTAATGGGTTAACCAACGTGGACTTTGTAATGGTGAACGTGTCACGTGAACACTCCCCAAATATAGGTAAATCACGCCCCACCCCAGGCCTGTAGACCGAGCCAATCATTGTGTTTGTTTCCAACTCGTCGTGTCGTCTACATCTTGTGGGTCTGGCGGATTTTAAACCATTCGGATGTCTTGTATAACATGAGAGTCTCACGCTATGCTGGCTCGAGGCAGAAGCCATGCAAGCAATGCTCAGATACTGACGTGTTAAGGCTAACTTTGAAGTAGCTCGTCAGATGTCCCATCCAGCCAGAAGACTTCTCTATCAAAAAAGCCCGCCTTAGAATTGTTCCGTTTTTTTCTTCCCTGCAATGTCTTTCACTTATTCTCTTTGGCTGGAGCATTCGATACTCCCACCGCGTTCACATTGCCGTCCCTATTGTTTCCACTTTCATCACTGGATGGACGGCTGTCTCTATGCAATCGGTCATCATAACCTACCTTCTCGATCTTTTCCCTAGTCAGAGTGCTGCGGATAGTGCTAGTCTTAATATCGCTAGATGCTTGTTTGCCGTTGGCGGTACCAGCTTCGTAATGCCGGTGATCAACGGCATCGGCATGGGCCTCTTGTACAGCGAAAATTTGCTGGTGGTTGGAAAAAAGAAGCCGAACAAAAGAGTGCCATAGATGGTTAGCGAGTAATAGACCCGTAATGTTATGTGATCACCTCATGTACCTACTAGTAAGTAAATAATTTGACCTACACATCCATGTAAGGGCTAACCTGAAATACAGTAGTTCTACATAGTACAGTCGTTAAATTATTTTCATGTAACCTCATTATATTAATTTCCTGGCAAAACTAGTTAATCTGTGTGTTGGTGCCTGGTAAATCAAGCCATCAAGTGAGGCTCCTGAAGAATGCAACTCTCTTTCCCACTCTCTCCGGACTTCATATAATAGACTTCACTACCTAAAACTCATAGTTTGTTTCTTCACCTATCGTCACCCATGCGCTTTCAACCCCCGGGACCTACCATGTCACGGAAACGGTGCGGTTTCTCCATCTCCTAACTTTCACTTTGATTTGATTTCTGTCGAAATGGACTCTGCGATATAGGAGCCCCATGGCCTTCTCAAACGCCCGTCAAGGCAATCCTAAGCCTTTGAACCCGACCATTCTTCCAATGATGACCTTCAGAGGCTTGGAATCCAAGTATCCCAAGTCTCGACGGTGAATGATGAAATCATCTTATTCAACCCATGCTTTTTCCGTCCACACCCAGACAAACTCCTCCAGAAATATCCAGTCAACCCCGACCCCGAAGAAAACGAGAAACCACCCAGGCTGAGACTCTTTCCAACTTTCGATGAAATTCTATAAGATTGCCAAGAGGAATATTCAGACCCAGAAGAAGTTCAACAAGCAGTGGAGTCTCAAATCGAGGCGCTTCGAGATTTATGATGTGATGAGGACTGGTACATGCAAGGCTTATCGATATACAACTATATAGGCTGGCAGCTTGATGCCTCCAGAACCATTGAGCCAGGAATATGTAAGAGTGTAGACACTACCTCCAGGATAGTGATAGCACATCAAACAATATCTCAGAGTATTCCTCCTCAATCCTCTTTCCACCATATAATCAATTCCTATTCACCCGCTAATTAGGTATCAGCCACAATGACTTGCCTGAGAATCTAGTTTAATAAATATCACCGTTTGGGATACTAGGGAATCAGTAGTTAATCATAGACGCCGTTCTAACTTATACCCATATAGGTAAGGCGGTTACTCATTATATACCATCAGAGGTCCGTTTCTCAACGCAGCACAACATGATAAACGTAAAGCAAGAGGAAGAAACAGAGAGATAGATGAAGGTATTGAATCTATCTACCGCCATAGGGCCCTTTTATACCCCATAAGGACAAAGAGAAATCTGACTAACTATAGGGAAGCAAGCAAAACCTCGCTACTTTGATGCTTATTGCATGTGCACCAAAATGCCCTTCATGTCACCTTTAGATCGCCAATCTTCAATAACTCCAAGCCAATGCTCGATTCCCGAGCCCCAAAGACCGGATCGCGCTAAGACCATCTGCTTCTCGGGCGGCACACGATCAAGGTCACCCTCCAGATTGAAGTATCCTGGTGTGCATCCAATTGCAACCCCCATCGGTGCAGAATGCATCATCACTTGCATACCCCAAGCCTCTGCTGCCTCCGTGGACGGTGCAACAACAAATTTTGCACCATTGGCCCTACGCTTCGCTTCTGTCAATATGTACGATATGTGCTTCGCGTACTCGTCCAGGTTGAACCGATAGTTCCCACTTGTAGACGCCTGTTGAGGCCCAGAGAGGAAGAGGTTGGGGAACTTGGCATCGATAACGCCGTGCAGCGTTGTGGGGCCCGAGCGAGGCCATTCCTCGCTCATGGTGACTCCATTCAAGCCTATGACTGACATGTTTGCTTTCTCAGATGGCGTACCAGCCGGAGGTGCGAGGAAGCCTGTCGCGAAAATAACTACATCGGCTTGGTAGGTCTTGTCACCGATAACCACAGAGTCTGCTGTCATCTGGTCGATACCCTTGCCATCGGTATCGACAAGAGTCACATTGTCTTGGTTGAACGTCTTGAGGTAGTCGTCGTGGAAAAGAGGTCGTTTACACCATACAGGATACCAGGGCTTTAGTTTCTCTGCGATGGCAGGATCCTGCACCTCTTCATGCACGCGAGCATGGATGCGGTGTTGACGGGGAGTGTCAATCTCAACTAATCTCGCCATATATGCGGGGATTTCTTCAGGTAATTTAGGCCCCTCTGTATAGCCAGTTAAACCAACTAAGCCAGGAGCGCGGGTCCATCCATCGTTGACCAGGTTGACTGCTGGCATTTCGCCAAGAGTGAAATGTTGGTGGAAGTTCCGCATTCGCTCCCGTTGCCATCCTTTCGATCCTGCAACCTCTTTATGGAACCATTCTTCATCTGTTTCTCGCTGGTCACGAACGTCAACTGACGCCGGCGTCCGCTGTACGACATAGAGGTGCTTGCACCATTGTGCGAGCTGCGGAACGATTTGTACTGCCGTCGCTCCTGTGCCGATAATCACGACCCGCTTATCCTTCAATTTGGAAAGCACTGGGTCTTTTGGAGACCCACCAGTGACATCGTATGCCCAACGAGCAGAATGGAACATATCACCTTGGTAATCCAGAATCCCCGGGATGTTCGGCAATTTGGGCCAGTTAAGGACACCAGCAGCAATGGTAACAAACCTGGAGCGAATCTGGAGAGTCTCCGGATATTGGCCCTTGCGATGCTGGATTAGATTGACTGACCATTCTTTGGCATCATCATCCCAAACGATCTTCTGTGCTTGAGTTTGGAAAACGGCACAATCTATCAGTCCCCATTTCTGCGCAACAAGATTGGCATAGTCCCGGATCTCTTCGCCTTGGGAATACCGATGCTTGGGTACGTATCCCGTCTCCTCCAGATATGGAAGATATGTATAGCTCTCAATGTCACACATAAGCCCTGGATATCGATTCCAGTACCAGGTGCCACCAAATCCACCAGCCGGGTCAATGATACGAATGTCTTCGGCTGGTATTCCAGCGTCTAGCATGCGGACAGCATTCTGTATCCCACCCCATCCGGCACCGATGATGAGTATTTCGCTTCGGTTATTGACGAACTTGTCTCGGAGGGGTTGGACTACTGCTGGATCAACCCACGGATCATCGGCGAAACGCTCATACTGGGCTGACTTTGCCACTTCAATGAACTGTGCGTTTCCGTCGTCGCGGAGACGTTTCTTTCTTTCTTCCTCGTAGCGGGCTTTCACCGGGGCCGATTGGGTTGGATCGACCTCCTCATTGGGGGTGGATAGAGTTGCATTGTCCTTACTGCCGTTGGACATGGTAACGATGTGTATTGATGAGTTCAAATTGGATTGAACGCTGTAGGTAAATAGGAGCCAAGCCACAAATGTTAAAGCTGAAGTCAGCTGCGTCAGCCAATTTCTTTGTTTACCCCGCGGCCCGCTGAGCAGCCACCAGGGGCTTAACGGGGGCTGAACTGTGATTATGGATGGATGGATTCATTTATCATCCTCGCGAGAAATATACTGGCTATAGCAACTACATGTATCAGAAAGGCGTATATGTAGAGTTGTTTGAGTCTACAAGCCCCAGATGCGACAACCAGCGTAGTACTGTCATGTCTGTGTTTATTCAGACACAGACGCATTTAAACATGAGAATGATAAGTATCGCTCCCCACTGTTCCATGTATTCTTACATCTTCAGGAACGGCAAAATTCGAGGTAGACGTAGCTTGAAGAGCCAGAGCTTCGTTTAGGATCGATGATTAATGGCGTGGGAGTTGAGAGTCTGTCTCAAAGGTACGAAATACATTCGGTCGTACTTGGCGGGCATCGGCCGGATTTCATGGTGACTTGTGAGATAAGGAAGTGCGTATAAAAGCCAGCAAAAGTGCAAGCATTCGACGGTGCGATCCGAAACCACTTACCAGGGCTTAGGCAGTTCACCCTGCCTTATACGTATATACATATTGAAAGGTGGAATACTCGAGGATATATGTGCTCTGACATACGGGTCGATTCCGCACTCACAATTTAGCATCATACCAAATCCTGCATATAAAATAATCTAAGCATTGAGCCCAAACAGTGAATTCAGAGAGGTGTAGAAGCGTGCATTCTCAATCTGCAACTAACCCCTACTTGTATCCTCCATATATCGACGAGTACATAATAAAATGTGCAAACATAAGAGGGTGGGTAAGGCCGATACGTACATAGTGAGGACCAGGTTGCCCGCTACAATGGGCAATCTGAGGTTTGTGATCAACTGTGATGGATGCCATCACTTTTTGAGCCAAGATCTTACTTCATGACTGTTACTTCATAACTAAGGATAAGGGGGAGCTATGGTGAAAGAAACTCCGGCTTTATTGATATTTGTCGAACTAGGACTATGGCCTAGTGATGAAATGGCTGCATTTTAAAACTTACTCCGGTACTGGCTATATTTATTCGAATATTAGTATTGCTCCTTAGCAGAACCTGCAACTCAAGGATATTATAGGAAGTCCAGCTATATAGGCTGATCTCCGCTATTATGGAGACATTTCCTCTCAAGAGAATAACCGAAGGGGGGCTGAGAATTTGGAATGCGCGGGTATTCAACTCACTGGTTCGGGGAGTGGAGGCAGCAGGAGGGGAAGAGGCGGGGCGGGCAACGACTTCTACTTGCGCGAGATTAGTATTCCTCTTGGTAATTGGAAGTAGACAACATTAACATGTCGTGGGATACTAACTGGTGCTGTCCACAGAGCCAGCCTCCGCAGCGGCAAGAAGGGCTTTTTCGGCCTCTTCGACTAGAAGCATATTAGTACCTGTCTTGCTCTCTCTTGGAATGCATGAGATGCATTGATCTAATCCCAAAACCGTGAGACTTACCTCAAATTTTCTTTCCCCTACGGGGATGTTGACGCCTGGTCACCTTTTGAGGCTGCATACATCAATATATCTCTTATACCATCTCATAGACTGATTGCTCACGTTGGAAGGGGGAAGGGGGGGCATAGTGGCCTGGGCACGGTTGTCAGTTGAGCGCATTGGCATGGGATAGCACACGAGACACAGCCATCGAAATAAGACTTACTGAAGTTTTAGTCTGCTCGGACATTTCGACTCAAGAAGAGGAGAATAAAATCAAAGAAAGAAGAGGTTCAGGTGAATGGAGATGGGTCTCTTTTACTTCTCGAGAGAAATGAAAGAGGAGGAGTAAGAAAAGGAAGAATAGGAAAAAAGAAAAGGAAAAAGAAGATGGAGAGGAAGAGAGGAAGAGAGAGAGAGGGAGAGAGAAAGGGAAAGGAGCGCTACACATCACCACACATTCACACTACTTCACACTACTTCGCACTACTTCGCACTACCACACTCAACCATACCACATACTACCTTGAGGGTTGTTAGTATGCCCATCTGCGAGTATTACTCCTCACTTATTCCTCAGTATATGCTCACCACGATGGCTTTCCTTGAAAGAAATACCCTTACTGACTCTTATAGATGCTTTCTTGTCTCACAAGTCTACCATGAAATCTGGCTCACGCTTGCCGAGTACGAGTATGAACATGTCCAGTATCTCATAATTCTCATATCGAAATGTGTCTGTGTCTGAATAAACGTAGACACCACCGACGATGCCTCCGGGGTGCCTATGCCCAACATAGATGTGGAGAAACGCCGGCTAAACCGCAGAGTTGAGAACTGGTCGTTGTAATTACCTAGATGTTTTAGAATTAAACAACAATGGCTCTTCATTATCCTTGGGTTTGAAGTAAAATATTGGTTCATCAAGTGATAGCATCCATGATACTTGGTCCAAGATGCATCAGGCTTCCAGTGGATAGGTGCTTCACTACATAATTAACAAAGGATTAACTTGGCTTTCATAGGCTGCTTGGCATTGAATGGTACATATTACCATGATGAAATACAATCTTGGATATCAGCATTAGAAAGAAAGACCTTGATATTATTGACACTCAAGATCAAATGAATTGGAAGATACCGTGAAACGCCATATACTGTACACCCCGGAACGCCATATGTAAACATTCAAGTCATATCCCCTCAACCAAAGAGATACTTCTGCCAGCTCTGTTTCCAAGGTTTCCAGGTTCCCCCAAACCGATGGTTAAGACAAGCATGCTGACTGTTGAAGCCCTCTGACCCAGAATGCCGCTGTCCATTACCCCAAGCGTTGACCGGTAGAACACACAGCCCTCCCAGCAGCTTACCAGCCTTGGCCTCGGGACCCTCGACACAAACCGGCTCTTGAATCCCGTGGAAAGGAGCCCACGTCACACGCTGTATAGACGAAGACGAAGAAGAGAACTTGGCGTCCGCATCCGCAGACTGCTGAACTAATGGATGCGTAGACGGCAATGAATCTGATAGCACATCGAGAATGGCATCTGTAAACACGCCCGGCCCGGTTATCTCCAGCGTATCCATTTCGTTGTATCTCCCGCTCCAGAAATGACTCCCGTCGACTCGCTTCTTCGTATGCGACAGGACACGGACGATGATCTCTCTCAGTAGCGGACTGAATCGTTGTGGCGCATACATCGTGTACTGGATGAAGCCGTATCGCCGCGCCCAGTGCCAGTCGCGCATCTTCTGTGGCGATGCGAAGGGTTCATCGATTTCGATTCCGACGACTAGCGAGACATTCGCATTGACGGTGTTGTCTTTGAAGAGGGAGTCGCGTAGTGAGGGACAGGACTTGATGCTTCGTGCGGGATAGACGTCAAGGTCTGCATAGTAGCCGCCGTAGTACCATAGAATCAGGTAGCGGAGGAGATCGCCCCGGTGGACGGAGTGTGGGTATGATTTGTAGAGTCGGGCGATGTCTGGGACGGATTCCAGAGTCTTGAAAATGAATTTGTCCGCCCAGTCGGCTTGGACGAGCTGTTAAATTATAAAGTCAGCCACGGTGGTTCAAGCTGGTATTTAATTATCAAGATATAAATTGTTCGTTGTTGGTCTGACCTTGTATTTCCATTCTGAGTTCTTTTGTTCGAATTGGATTGAATCGTCGCTTCGCTCGCTGACACCTGGTAGCATAATCTGCCACAGTGTGTCTGTCGCATCCTCGTCGTGTCGCATTTCCCTTTCTATCTCCATAGCGCGTAGCGCATTAGAGATTTTGATCTCATATTCATAGTCTGGGGTCGCGCGAAATGTAGACTGGTGAAGATATCGTGGTCGGTCTTCCCCGTGCGACTTCTCATTGCGGGGGTCAAGCCTGTATGTTGGCGTGGGCACGGACTTGAAAAGAATGAACAGGGTTAGTATCGCGGCTACCAGGACATATTTATGCCGGTTCGGAGAGCCTAGAAACACACGATTCCTCATGGTGAACGGTGAAAGGATGATCCATAACAAGTGCAAGATACGGTAGAGGGGTGAATTTTCTTTGGGCTGTCAGCTTTAGCCCCCAAACAAACCTCGGGACGGCTGCGTCTCATTGGTTTCAGCTGATTGGTGTAACTGCGATGGACCCTGAACAGTGGGCTTCAGAAGATTAGCTAGTGCTGATTGTGATATTTGTAATATTTGGAAATCTAGAGGTAGATAAGACTGTGAATAGGTATTATGGTTCTTCTCTTTGATTTTTCAGTTCATCAATCTCCAATATAAGAACATCACTAAGTATGTATAAGAACATGAATGGGAACATTTGAACACTGCATGTTTTTTTACTTGTGGGGGTCGACCCGTGTGGATGTCTTGGCACATTCTTGGCAATCTTAATCGGGAACTATGTAAACGTTAAGGCACGAGCAGGAACTCTTCTAAAAAAGCTTGGCTATACTTTGTATAGCATCATAATATTTCAGTCCATTAATAATCCGTGTCTACGGGTGAACCTTATGATTGCTGCCCTCTTAATTAGTCCAATTCTTCCAATTCTTTCCAATTCATTGAATAACAAACATGACCTGCATTGGTTTGATAATCCTCGATTTTTTTTTCCATCTGGCTAGTCCTCAACACTCAAAACACGTAAACTCCCAGCTTCGAAATCACGTGCCAAAACAACTAAGCAAGCATTGTTGACATCGAGCAAATGCCTCGAATCTTTCTTTCTCTTCGACGAGCCTTCATCCTCAGTCAACCCTCACCGTATGTGCTCTCTTCCATAAGGGAGACAGCAAAGCCTCTACGGGTACGCGTGACCTCCAATAAGCAAAATGTGAGACCGGCATGAGCTAACAATCTCATTTAGTGCGATGGCAAATAATCCAAGCATTCCCAGACAAGTCGCAAGACAAATTAGGCAACAAAACCAAACTCGAGGCCGTACAACCGGACGTTCCGGCGTCCCAAACTCCCAGAACAGTATCTACCAATCCGGCCAACACCACAGCCCTATCAGGCCTGGTATGGGCAGCAGCCGCTTCGCCACTGTTCAAGATGACGTGCAAGATCCTTCTGAACCTGACCCGATGGAACTTGATCCAATGGAAATCGACACTCCTGTTCAAGAACCTACAGCAACCACCACTGGAGCTCACACTAATGAGCAGTCTCGGGAGGCTGGAGCTCACAGCCACGTCTTCTACATTCCCATTCGCTCTCGCCCCATGCCGACTCTCGACCTGGACGTGTTGACCGCCGCTCGCGCTGAAGTAGCTCACATTCAGAGAGTGGGACTTCCAGTTATGCAAACCTTGCCCGAGCGACCTGGACCCCATCTCTACATTCGTATTGACACTGACCAGCCAAACCGTGAAAATGCACTTACGGATGTCAACCTCCGGATGGGTACCATGCAAGACATGATTCGCGATGGCTTCGGTTGGTTCTCGGGTTTGCCTTACCGCCACCCGCATTTCGAGGTTAAATTCCTCCGTGGTCGACGTCTCTAGGTTGAGGATTTATGACTGAATGAATTTCCCGGCGTTATGACCATTGTTTCAGGGTTAGAGGTGGGATTGATGAGCTTAGTATGGAAGGATCAGTGAGAGGGATTTGAGGTACTTTGACAACCAATGTGATCTTGGGTGAGCAAGATTCGTTAGTTAGATATCATTCCTGTCGTTCCTTCTCTACCGTCTCTTCTCTCGCTCTCCTACTTCTTCTCCCCATTCTTACATCAAGATAGCCACAAATGCTATTCTTAGTGATTTTACTTCATCCATGGACCATATAACCCTATCTACCTAGCCTACCGGATCGAGAGTAAAGTAAACGGTGACGCATTCCAGAGTTCGACAAACCTAACTGGTGAACTTCGAGTAATCCTAAACACCATACCCTCATAGCTTCATAGCTTCTAGAACGCCATGACAAACACCAGCAATGCAATTCCCATCCAATTCCACCGAAAACAAAATACAAATCTTCAATCATCCGCTGGACGCAACGTCAATGTAGTCTCCCTCTTCTCGCATCCCTGCCAAGCCCGTTCAACGGCCTGGACAGTAGGCCAGACCTGCTCACGAGCATCCTTCCGACTGACGCCCTCGTCGAGCAACTTCTCATAAGGCGTATGAACATGGCGAATATGCGCCTCAACAGCCAAGAGTGTCTTCTTCTCATCGCTGATCATCGCCGTCCGCCCTACACGCCCTGATCCCTTGAGGAAGGCGTGCTCTAGGACGATTTTGAGGGTTTCCTTGGGCATAAGCGGGAATTCGGACTTTAGGAGTTCTCGCGATTTGGACAGATCCTTGGCATCGCGTACTTGCACAGCATTTGCGCGTGACTCTTTGGTTGCGGCGGCTGATTTGAGAACTTCTGTGTGGATTTCTTCCGGTACTCGGATTCCCAGGGTTCTTTTGCCCGTGCGGTTCTGGGGCTGTTAGTAGTCCATTTCTTGCCTTGAAACTGATGGGTTGGATAAGGGCATACGTAGACGACATAGACAATTCGCTCGGACTCTTTGGTCTTACTGCGGCAGTGTCGAGTGATGTAAACATCGCCCTTGGGGACTAGAATGTAGCCATCTGGCATAGGTACTTGCTCAACAATGTTCTGGTTACATGTTTAGCATAGTGTTCTTCAATATTGCTACAACTAAAACTCGCCTTTTCGAGTGGATCATCAGAGACAGGAATGAGCCCTGCCCATGTTTTCTTGGGTTTGCGACGCTTCGTCTCGTTGAGTACTTCGGCGAGCGGTTGGACTGACGAGCCTGCATCTATCGGACGTGCATGGCCTTCGCGAGTGCGGACACCACGGTTCTTCTTTCTCAAGCGTGGCTTGCGCTTGCGAACTTTGGGTTTAGTTGTTGGTGCCATGTTGAGTGTTCATGGAGCCAAGGAGGCTGCTGAGTTGATGGATGACACGGTGGTGAGATGCCACTCGCACATCGATTCCATTTAGGGAGAAACTTTTTGGCAGCACTGAGATCTGATTGTCGTTCAATGTTATTTTTGGACCTGAAAGACTTCGAGGTCTTTGATACTTCCACCGTTTACGGTCAAAGCAGATCAGGAACAGTGGCTGTGGCTGTGTGGCTGTGTGGCTATGTGGAGCATCGCTTTGGTGCCTGGATAATCAGGCCCTTGACGTGCGCAAACTAACTAGTTACGACGGTTCGTCTTTCTGGCATTTACGGAGTATGAGAAATCAACGGTACTTACATATATAGATTATGATACCACAATTCTAGTGCGATATACTTGAACTACTACGGGGTACAAAATATAGATAACTATGTAGGTGATTTCGAGTCTCCACCTTAAGAACTCGGCTATTACTGTTTTAGACGAACTCGATACATCTACTCCATACTCTCTAAAAAGTACAGGTAGGATCCCGATTTATTGTCGTTGATCCCACGGAGTAGACCAGATGTGAATGGACTGGTCAAACATGGTGATATCACACATGAGATCAGCATAAACTGGAGAACCGAGTATCCAGAGCTCATTGGTCGGATCCTTCCCCTTAGAGACAGATTCTATGGAATAAGATTGGGATCAACAGATCTCTAGATTGTGAGATCGGAGTTGACTTTTTTGTCGAAGGTTTAATCCAAGACACTGTCGAATGTCCTCCATATGCTGTATCTACTATTGACATACGGAGTACTCCGTATTCCGTACAGACAATTGTCACCAGGGTCAAAGCAAAGTGAGTACCGGGGAAAGGCGTGGAGCACGGAGCAACTAATATGCTCTTTGGACAAAGAGACGCCAAGACGGTTTACTAGGGGCTTAGCTCAATTCTGATTACCCCAGCTGAACACGGGGTTGAATTTCCCCCTTTCATCCACGAGGGGTTTTCAAGGTGGAACATCCGGATAGTCTGATGTTCTGATGTTTTGAAGCTATGAAGCTTGAAGCTCCGGTGCCCCGAAGCTCCAATATTGGCTCCTCCATACCACATACAAAGTACAACATTAGACACAGCTTATATCGCATGTTCGGAGGCTCCACAGCTCACATGTCGTCATTGGTGAGATTGGTCTTTGATCTCACTGCCTAGAAAGGCTGGACCGGAATCCCCGACGGCTCTTGTCCTTGGAGTACTATTGCAGGTCTAGATCGACAGACAAGGGGAAAGTCTGACTCTTGACCTTTCAAGGTTGATAACTGAACTTAGATGAACTGAACACAGTATTCAATATTCTGTTCCTGCATGAAGCACAACATACTTCCAGATGTCGTACATACTAGGAACATTGAAGATCGGAAGATGAAAGAGCTTGTGGATCAGTGGATTCTGTTAGAAATAAAAAAAAGCCGAGTCCCCACGTAAAAGAAATAAAAAGATTAAAAGATAAAAAAACATTAAAAAGACAAAAAAGAATTTCAAAAAAAGGTATTTTTCATTTGAGCGAAAGAAAAAAAAAAGAAACCGACAAACAGAGCAAAAGGAAAACATCTCTCTCCCCTCCGACTCTCCTTCCAATACCCCATTCCTCCCTTTATAAACTCTACACACACACTCACACACACAATATGAATTAACTAATGATCTTACTCGCTATCTCCAATCTCTATCATTCTCAATCAATTAAAGTTGCCTGGCAGCTTGATCTTCAATGGTTACTGGGTCTGTGTTGCTGACATGAGTTGGGATCACCCTGTCCACAGGTATGCATTCTCCCTTGACAGACCCCCTTGTGTGGGGGTATCACATTTGTAGTCTTCTATTCTTTTTTTTTTTACCAATCTATACCACATGTCTATATGAAAAGACGCTCATGGATTCATTTATGTTTAGCTTCAGCTATCCCAACGGTGAACCTCAAACTCCCACGAGGACTCCGAACACCTTCGACTCGTTTCACACCCCAAAACTCGAATCCAGCTTTTTTGACCCCCGGGTGACCTGGGATACCTCCGATCCATATGCCTCCAGCCCGGAGCTCCTTCGCACACCCCAGAAGTTCGGTCTAGGCTCGTCAAATTCACTGAAAGGTCAGAATGGGGAGACAACTGGTTACAGGGGGAGGTCTTCGGACCAGACCGATACGGCCAGACGCATTCGCTCGGTGAAGCCTCTTCCGAGTATGAGCGAGGATTACCCTCGGCCAGTGGGGTCGGCCAAGTCAGCGGCCTCAATGCAAACCCCGCCGCCGACAAGTGCATCAAGACGAAAAATCCCCGAATTTGACCAACCCGATGGACATACACAAGGAGCAACGCCGGGCATGGGAGGACATTTGGAAACACCCAGTCGTCTTCTTGGAGCGTCCCCTCGAATGTTCGGCAACCTCCAATCTTCACCCGATCTTTTTCAACTGGCTTCATTGGATCCCACGGGCTCGCCTTTCTTCCCACAGCAACGACTATTTTGGGATCATGATCTAGACAATACAGCTAGCGAAGTTCCCTTACCTAGCAACGAGACCAATTTCAATGCTCGTCAAACTTCCGCCTTTACAAACGCACATCAAATCCCCCAATTACCAACCATTAGTGGTTCAATTCCCGACTATGGCAACGGTTTTGGAATTTCTGCACCACCACCCACTGATGCTGCCATATTTCCTGCGCCATTCTCGACCTCTCCCCGGCTTCCGGTCACCAAGGCTGAGGATCCGGCTCTGTTTCTCAGCTCCCCTGCTCGGAGATTCGGGGGCCCTCAAATGACACCAGAGACACGATCTCTTCGTGGCCTTCGACAGCCCTATCACCACCAGGCGGAAGAGTCAAGGCGGGAGGAGCTTATCCGTTTGCAGGCACCAAATGGCCACCGATCCGATCCTTTCACTACCTTCCAGAGCCAGAGTGAGAGCGATGAGGAGGATGACGATTACACACCGAGGGGAATACGACCAGCTCTAACCCGTAGTATGACCCATAACGGCCTGTCTAGCTCAGCCCGGCAGGTCAGTCAATCTGGGGGCTTGATGGCATCTACCAGCGGAATCCGAAAGAGCCCGTGTAAAGGGCGTTCGTCTCCAGCGAAGCCCATGCGTCCAGCCCCCTTAACACGATCTAGTTCGATAGCCACCGGGTCCTTGACGCGCTCGTCGTCTGTAGTGCTTCGCATCGGTCGAGATGGTCGTGCAAAGGCTGAAATGGAGCCACTCAATGAGGCTTCTACAGGCTTGACTGATCCCCTGACCGGGATTGATTTGGATGGCTCTACAACCGAGAGTGAATCAGATCCAGCCGAGTTCTCGGAATATCCCGTGTTGCATCGCGCTCAGTCGTCCTTTTCACTTTATGACAGCTCAAGGCGTCCACTATCCCGGAGTGATTCAGGTTCCCGGCCTCCTTCAAAGGGCTCCTATGCTTCCACCGTCGGCTCATCACACTCGGGTCGGATGTCACCCTGGGCTGGCTCTTCTAGGGGAGGCGGGCGAGCAACGTACCGTGGATCTCCTGATATTAAGCGGACACCCAAACGGCATTCCTCTCTGCTGCACTCGGACTCGACATATACTCGGAGTAGCGTAGCATCAGACTTGTTGCCCGGGGAGGAGGACGAAAGTGGTGATGCTCAATCTGCGCTCCGACAGGTTCTTAAAGAACGTGGCCGGGGACCAAGGCCTGCCACAAGCGCTTTTGGAAACCGACTTTCTCGGTCATCACATACCTTTACTCATCTCCGCTCATCACCACCCCGCCTTGGCAGTGATTTTGACATACATCCCCGTCACAATGCTTCTCCCACAACCTTGACCGACCCTGACCTGGCAACCCCCAGTACAGATCGTCACAGCAACCCCAGCAACGGTACACGATGTGTCTGCCGCTCGATGGATAATGGTGGCCATCTCATGATTCAATGGTGAGTCCCAGTCTCCATCGGCCTTGATTCCAAAGTTGATTGTGCTAACTTTCCCAGTGAATCATGTACACACTGGCTACATACCAGATGCGTTGGATTGGAGCGTGCAAACCTGCCCTCCGTCTATGTCTGCGTCTTTTGTGCTCAAACACCATCCCGCCAAAACCGTGCCCGAACAACTTACGTTCCCACGGGGCAAGCCCCTCCCTCTCCCTTGGCCCACAAGTCATTCCGCCTTCGGTAACCTCGATGCGTTGACTGCCGTCTTGGATGCATATATGTTTTGGAAAGACCGGTGCCTCTTGATTTCTTTTGTGTGATTCTTCCTCCATCCGGGCTTTTTTATACTCTGCATTAGCCGGGCCACCCTGCCCCATCTCATACTCGCCCTTCTCAGGACCCCCTCTGAGACCCCATTATCCCCCTTATGATACCTATGTACTATTCCCTCACAATCCTGGACAAAACCAGAATAGAATCATTTCTATAATTCTCCGCATATTTTCTTTTATCGTGATATGGTGTTGAGTGCTTAGCACGGTTACAATTCCAATTTACTCAAACAGATGTATTCCAGCCTACCTATAGCCCCCCCTTTTTGTCTCCCATACTAAGCGAGAATCCGAATTCCAGTCTACTAGACTGCGCCGCCACTGATTATTTATTTTCCATGTCCAAGATATTTCAACCAATCCGATAATCCACGACAGAACCCTTTAGCGACGGCCTCATTCAACGAATTGGGCTGCCACGAAGTCGAAATTTTGAATCTATCCGACATACAACACTGAGTGTCAACGGTGCCGAGCTCACCATCGCGTTCTGTGTGAAGGTCAACGGTCTCGCTCAATCATAGTCATCTGTAAACCATAAGCCGTCATGGTTTCAGCAAAGCACTAAGCACATCCTAGAATGAGTACCCGTGACAGACTTCTTCTCGTTATAAACTGATCTTATACCAGGGGAGTCAATCTAGAAAAAGGCGCTCATCATGGACCAAGTGGGGAACATGTTCGCTGTCCTACGGTTTCACATGCATCAGACCTGGGGTTTCGGGTCCTTCATAGAGGCCCATTAGGCCTAATTGGCACCAAATAATATATATCACGTTTAAAAACGCGTTATTTCGATGAGTTTTAGATTACAGAGTGCTCATGTACTCCGTAGATGAGAGAGCATCGGTAAAATCAAGCAACTGCCTAAGACCATTCAAGTATGGCTACTTCACCGGACTCCGGAGCTATTTCCGGTCAAGGCAGCGAAATTTGATCCTTTGTATCCCGTACCGTCTGGAGATTTCCTCTCTTGTGGATTTCTTTTGCTAATCCTCAAGACAAAAAAGAAAATGGGCCCTGATTACAAAAAGTCCGAGGTGCGCTTGGAGGCTCTCGCAGACCTTCAAGTTCCTCATGATCTTTGCATCTCCCCTGATGGGACCCAAATTGCCTATACGTTGCAAGCTTACAGCAAGAAGGGCAAGCATGCCACCTCCGCACTATGGATCGCCAAAGTTGGCGAAGAAAACAGCAGTCGCCAGTTCACTTCAGGCCTATTCAACGATGAACACCCCCAATGGTCTCCTACGGGAACAATGATTGCATTCAAATCAGATCGACACCAGGCGGGAAAAGGCTCGGCAATATATGTGTTGTCAGTCGAGGGTGGCGAAGCATATCCTATAACGCCAGTGGACCACGAGAAGCCAATTGAAGCCTTTCAATGGAACTCCACCGGTACCAGTATCGCCTTTACCAGCGCGGACGAGAAGACAGATGAGCAGGTTGCAAAGGAGAAAGCGAAAGATGACCCGACAGTCTGGGGGCAAGACCTGGAATACCACCGCCTGAGAATTGCTCATATAGCAACTAGCCAAATTGACACCGTCGTTGGAGGTCATAGACATGTCCATGACTTTACTTGGAGCCCTAACTCCCGACAGATTTGCTTCGTTGCAAATAGGGATCCCGATATCAACTCCGCTTCGTTTTACGGTACAGAGATCTGGACGATCTCTCAATCTGGAACGGATCCTAAGAGAATTGTCAAGTTCCCCGGGCCAGTCAGCCAGATCGTATGGGGAGACTCTGGCGTCTACTTTATTGCAGGTCATTCCCCGACTCACGTCTTGACCTCGCTTTCATTATATGAACTTGATATTGGGAACGGGTCGTATAGAGAGCATAGAGAGGACAATAAGGAGCACTGTTGCATCACTATTCGGAGGAATCAATCTTGTCTATCCTACCGTCTGCAGAGGTACCTAGCCGATGAGTTTTACTCAATCAGCAGTGACGGCACTCGTACAAAGGTGTATAGCGATGAGTGCGAGATGATTTCATTTGACGTCTTTAAGACTTCAGATGATACTATCGTTGCGGCCACGAAGGGTGATGGGTCAAATCCCGAAGAGGTTTTTACTATCTCCAAGTCAGCAGGTACAGTCAAACTGTCCGCTCACAACTCCTCTATCGCTGCCCTAAGCATATCCAAATCAAGGGCAATCTCAACCCGCGCGACAGATGGCTACCACCTCGACGGAATGATATATTTTCCCTCTAAATATAACCCTGAAGACGGTCCACTAGCCACGATTCTTATTCCGCACGGAGGGCCCTACTGGCGGATCACCACCGGCTTTGCCGTCTGCCATTGTCTCGAGGTTCCGGTACTAGTCTCTATGGGCTATGCTGTTCTTTGCCCTAACTACCGTGGTGGGAGTGGTCGAGGCGAGAGTCATGCGGCTTACGCTCGTGGAAGGGCCGGCACAGTCGACTATACGGACTGTATTGACATCCTCCGATACACTATCGCTAGGGGCTGGGTGGACCCTTTGCGCGTAGTAATCGACGGTTGGTCGCAGGGCGGATTCCTGTCCTATTTTGCGGTCACCCGCGATGATTTCCAGTTCCGAGGAGCTATATGTGGGGCAGGTATAACAGACTGGGACTCTATGGCGATGATGAGCGATGCTTACTCGATGCAAGCTGAAATAGCTAGCGGGGCTCCATGGGATGTGGATGTGGATGAGAACTCAAGGCCCCGGGAAGACTCGACAAGCCCTTCGAAGCAGTGGATCAGCGACACAAATGGCCGCAGGGCAAGTGCATTATGGCACATGCGTAATGTGAAGACCCCGGTCCTGATTCTTCATGGCGAGAACGACGTGCGTGTGCCTTTGGAACAAGCCATCGCGTTCTATCGTGCATGTGTTCGCAACAATGTGCCGGTTGACATGGTGACGTATCCTCGAGAAGGACACCTCATCGGTGAACGGAGACATCTCATAGACATGTGGGAGCGGCTGAGGAGGTTCTGTTCTCTGCATTTACAGTGATTTTGAGAGTTGTCCGGCATGTCATCTTCTTAGACGTGTGGTCTTGGTTATATGTGTAAGGACCATGATTATCGAATTTATAACCGAAAGCGTTTCCGTATACAAACTCGATTCAAATGTAATGAAGTGCATTTGTTTTAAAGATAATATTAGGAGAAGCTCTTGCAAGTAGTTCTCTTTCTGCTTCTTCAACCTTTATTTATCCGATGGCTCTGAAGTCTGTGCTTCTTTTTTGATCATTTGTCCTTTAGTTCATAGTCATTCACCTTTTTTCTGAAGCAGTTGAGATTAGCAAGGCACCCAGGGCATTAGCATTACCCAATTGAGTCAAGAAAAAAAGAGGGAAAATGCGTCGAGAGTCTAGCAGCGGAACCTGAATGACTGGGGGGCGACAGAAAACGAGTTTCGACGTACCCGTCAATATTCATGAGAGATATGTATACAGTATGGCTCAACTCATAAGTGGCAAAAATCGGTGGGTTTTCCAAATTAGACAGGCTTCGTAGCCATATGCATTTTTGTGTTATTTTTATTCTGTAATAGAGCTATACTCAACTATTTACACCGGAACGCCAACTACCAACAAGTTCAGAGATCGCTATCACCGAGGTACCCTAAAAGCTCCCTCCAGTGATCTGTACAGTATAGTCCAACCCAGACGTGGCCTCGCTAGACAACTTAAACGGATCATACTGGATCAACTCCGCTGGCGTATTCACAACAACAAGGCTGGCCTCCTCACTCCCACCAACAGTCACCTCACCACTGCCATTCTCTAGATCAACGTATCTCACCACCCCACTATCCTTGTTCCTCACGGCCAGTGTCGAGGTAAACGCCGAGTTCGACTTCACAGTGACACTCACACTCCCGTCACCAGAGACTTGAATTGGGTTAATATTCGCCCCAAAGTACTGCGGCTGCCGGGCAGCCTTCACAGTATAGCTCTGTCCACTGCCGTCCAGATTCTCATAGCTCAGAGTCTCCCTTTGTTCCAAGAACGCCCGGTTCGCAGCCTCATGTCCAATGTCCACATACGCCATATGCGCCCAGTATCTCCCGACAACCTGCTGAACCGTCGCCCGAGTCCCGAGCAGCCTCTGCAACGTGTGCAGCGGCGTCTCGTTACTCCCAACTTCATACTCCAGATTCAATCTGAGCACCGCATCCTGGCCCAACCCGGTAAAGTTATCCGGGTTATTCGTCAAGTAGGACAAGATAGGCCAGCTCTGGTAATAATTGCCGGAATCCACACTTCCATCCACAATGACCTGGTGGCTATCCCCAATGACCTTCTTAAGCTCGATGATACTATTCCCCGCTTGTTGGGAATACTTCTCTCGCGCACTCGCGCAAAGGTCAGACGTCATCCACGTATCTGCGAACCAATTCGCCAGTGGCTCCCACCAAGCCCCTGTGGCAGTCTGGTCGACCCAGTTCTGCGCGTGATACGTAAGGGCATGTCCGTATTCATGGACCGTAACCGACGGATCGGTAAGGTAGGTGTTCACGACCTGCACGAAGCTGAGGCCTGTCTCCGGGTCTGAGCCCATGACGCCTGCAGCGCTGCCGAGCGAATCAACGGAGTATATGTTCTCCTTATACCAGACATCCGCAGTGTCGGAGTCAGAGTTGTACGAGAGACCGGAGGAGCGCCATCCGAGGTCGGTGACGAAGCAAGTATATGCAGACTCGAGCATCTGGAGGGTTTTGTCTGCTTCGTCACCGGTTGCGCTGTAAACTCTAAACCGGTGCGAGTCGGTGAACGTGTTGCCACCGGCACCAACATTGGGGTTTGCTGTGAACTCTGAAGGTTCCGTGCTTGCAGCACTGGGAGTGGTGGAGGCTTGGGGGTTTGGGGTTGCGAGGGCGTTGGCGGCGAAGAGGGCCGCTGCCGCGTATTTGGATGGGGACATGGTGGTAATTGATGTTCACTGGTTACTGGTATGTAGTCTACTGGGCTTCATCGTGCATATATATATAGCGAGGGCCAAATTCGCCAAGACGGGCATATTATTGCGCAGGATTGTTTCAGTGTCGAACCGCGCCAAGAGTTTGTGATATATTGGCAACGCCAAGAGCTTTTGACAGACTACAGCTGGTCCCTGTGAAACGGGACTCACAGTGAAACGCACTAGGGTTGCCTGTGACCGAGCTCCGGTAGGGCTGCAGTATTGGTCTATCGAAGGGGTAATTACTCCGTAGTAATGCCGAACTGTTCGGAGGAATTACATCTGCCTCCTTTTAAGTTTGATCTTCTGCTGTGATGTCCAATGTTTCTACAGCATGCCCTTTCAAGAACGATGTTACATTAAGTCTTTCTGGTTCTTTGATAAACTCTTTATAGAACTTAGATCTGAGCTATGAGCCTAGCTATTTTTTACCAAATGTTATGCCTGATGCATTTAACATCCCCCTTATAGAACTTGTCTTATACCCCCTATTAAAATCTCTAATTTTGGCATATATAGTAAAACCCTCCAATTTCGAATAGATTTGAATTATACTAATTAGCCTAGTCTTTTATAAGAGCCTTAGTGTTAATTGTGGGGTTCTCCAGGAGAACCCTGATTAAGTAAGCGATGAAGCACCGACTCGTACAAAATTACGGGTGGAAAGCCGTTTCTGGCGTCAAAAGCTGTCATTTTCGTCGATTTCACAGGTCCTCATATTCTGTATGTAGAACTGCAGAACTCCCCGCATATCGGGGTAGCGAACCGGTCTCGGGAGAGGAGCCGGCCCGGGTTGTCTTCCTAACCCTGAGAAAACCCGGCTGATTTACTTTCACAATAACCCATCGCTCCCTCTTCCTTGATCGCTTGATTTTATGCTTAGCCTCCCACGTAGGTAATTGACTGAACCTCACTGTGCCTGGAGTAGTCCCTTTCTAAAAAAAACAGAGAAAGAAATCTCTTTCAGGTACCGGACATTGTATAGATCTGGCTGCACTCTGATTGGCCCACCCACACTTATCGGCTCACCGCCCTTTTTATCAAAAAGTGCTTTTCTCCCCCGCGGAGTCAGAGTGCCCTCCCTCTTTTTTGTTGCGCGCCGTTCATTCTCTTTGGTCTCATTCCAGTTTGTGCTTCGTCATCCAGTCGCTCCAATGTCTGCCTCTCTTCCTGGCAGCCGGGACCTTCCCCCATCGCAATATGACCTGAAGACCTATTGGGGTCGCGTGCGCCACGCCGCCGACATTTCTGATCCTCGGTAAGTTCACAGAGAAGAGATTGGTCATACTGAGAGGGTTGTCCAGCATATACTAATTATGCCATAATATTAGGACCCTATTTGTTTCGCCCACCGGTCTTGAAAGTGCCAAAAGCCTCATTGCTTCTTACAAGCAGAACCGCATCCCGGGCATGACTCCGGAGTTGTGGTCGGCGAAGAAAGTGGTCGATGCGACATTGCACCCTGGTATGGACTTGTTCAATCTGATCAAATAGCCATTAGCTAACTCATGACCGACCAGATACTGGAACGCCCGTTTTCTTGCCTTTCCGCATGTCATGCTACGTGCTCACAAACTTGGTCGTCACAGCAGGCATGTTGACCCCAGGATTGAAGGTGAGCGCCTCTCTACACATATCTAAAAATATATACTCCGGGACAATATACTGACAATATAGACAACCGGCACCCTGCTCTGGCAAATCGGTAACCAGTCCCTCAACGTCGCCGTCAACAACGCAAACGCAAACAAATCTACCCCCCTCTCCTTGTCGCAAATCGGCAAGTCTTACCTCATGGCCGTCTCGGCCTCCTGCTCCGTCGCTGTCGGCCTGAACGCCCTCGTCCCCCGCCTCAAGAGCATCACCCCAAACACTCGCCTCATCCTCTCCCGTCTCGTCCCCTTCGCCGCTGTCGCCTCCGCCTCCGCCCTGAACGTCTTCCTCATGCGCGGCGAGGAGATCCGTCAGGGTATTGATATCTACCCCGTCCTGTCAGAGGCCGAGCGTGCCAAGCGTGAGCTCAGCGAGGACGCTGAGCCAGTCCAGAGCATCGGAAAGAGCAAGAAGGCTGCTACCATCGCCGTCGGTGAGACGGCTATCTCCCGTGTCCTGAACGCTACACCTATCATGGTCCTACCGCCGCTGATCCTCGTTCGTCTCGAGAAGACGAACTGGCTCCGTGCCCGTCCCCGCATGGTCATGCCCATTAACTTGGCGCTGATTCTGGGTACTTCCATCTTTGCCCTGCCGCTTGCGCTCGCTGCGTTCCCGTCTCGCCAGGCTATCAGTGTCGATAGCCTTGAAGAGGAGTTCCGGGGTCGTGGCGGTGATCTCGGCATGGTGGAGTTCAATCGCGGGATGTAAGTTTGGGATTTTCGGCGTTTCGCAGCGTGCATATTACATTGTCTTTGCATAGGTCAGAGAATTATATAGACCCGGTTTCCGTTTAAATGTCAATACTGTTGTCCGTTATAAGCCACTCAATATAGAGCAGGTACCGCTCTACCCTTAAGAATCCTCTCAGCCCGCTCTGCAATATCAAGCAATTCATCATCCCCCCAACGCCGACCCATTAGCTCCAATCCAACAGGAACACCAAGCACAGCAGACGCAGTCGTAGGGCTCCGCCCAGCTGCATTCTCCACATTAGTCCAATTCTAAACATCGAATGGAATCACCTACCGGGAATGCAGATAGCAGGCCTCCCCGTCAACGCAGCCAAAACACCATTCCGCCCCAACTGCATCTTCGCGCCGATCTTCACAGGGAGCTGTCTCTGGTGTGGATATACCAGCACGTCGATATCATATCTATCGAAACATTGCTTTACAGACTGTTTGAGAGCAGAAATATACTCTAGCCGACTTCGATATGCCTCGCTCGTCAATGAAAATGTCTCGGGATCTTCCAGCGCTGCAGAGAAAACATGCGTCATGGCTTGTTGATCAATCTCGCCGCTCTGGGAAATAGATTTCAGTGATCGGTGCGGTGTCGACGAAACAAATGGCGACTGCAGGAATTCGTCGAGACAGTGCTTGAATTCAAAAGCCTGTGTATCCCCCTTCGCAAACATGGCTCCATAACTCCAGTCCGGGTGACTAGATGGGTCGATAGATACCAAGGTAATATTCACATCTTGTTCACATATCGAATCCAAACTCGACCGGATAATATCCTGCACGATCTGGTTCTCAGCGATATACTCCGATTCCGCACTTCCATCTCCATGAGCTTCAGGCTGGAAATAATCCTCTAAAATTCCAATTCGAACTTGACGACCGCTCCGTATCCGTTCAGGCACCACCTCCAAAGACCCTACCTCTCCCCCATCCGGCCCCTTCATAACCTCATACATAATCCTCACATCCCCAACACTCCTCCCCATCGGCCCAGCAACATCCTGCGTCCGCGAAACAGGTACAATCCCAGCACAGGATACCCTCCCCGTGGACGGTCTGAACCCCACAATCCCACACGCAGACGCAGGTGATCGCAGCGAGTTCATTGTGTCTGTCCCGCACCCCGCGAGCCCGAAATTCGCCGCTAGCGCTGCGCCTGTCCCGCCGGAGGATCCGCCTGGTGTGCGGGTCTTGTCGTATGGGTTCAGCGTTTGTCCGCCGAGCGAGGAGAGGGTTATTCCTTGTAAAGCGAATTCGTGGAGGTTGGCTTTTGCTAGGATTATTGCTCCTGCGGCGCGTAGCTTGGAGACGACTTCGCTGTCTTCTTTTGTTTGTAGGTTTTTGAGGGCTTGAACGCCTGCGCTTGTTGGTAGATCTGATGTGCTGTAGTTGTCTTTTAGGATTATGGGCACGCTGTGTAATGGTGGATATGACTTGTTGGTTTGGTTGAATGTGAGTGTTTCGGCGGCTTTTTCTATAGCGGTCTCTAGGGCTGCGCTGTTTATTACGATGAGGGATTTGAGGGCCCCGTCGTGTTGCTTGATTGCGGAGAGATATTTGTTCACCAGCTCCGGACCGACGGAGGGGTCTATACGGAGTAGTTCATGGAATTTGGTGATTGTCATCTCTTCTGTTTGCCACGCTGGAGAGTCCATGGTGTTGATGTTGAGTCATGGATTGGATAGAGAGAGGATAGAGGGGGAATTTGGTATTGAAGTTTGCTGAATGTTGATATGGTGATTGACTCAATCCACGCACCCCATCCATACATGGATTTGGTTGATGAAATCAAGTTTTGCTAATGCACATGTGTATGTCTTGGTCCTGGATTGGAAATGTTAAATGTAACAGAACAAGTGACCTTGTCACTTTGATATAGATGCATAACCCCTCTCAGTGGACACGGCTTCGGGTTATTCCGCTCCGATGTATACAAAAGAAACCGAGACGAATGGGGTAGCATCATGTACAGAGCTGAGCAGAATTAGGAAGTTGAAGCGAAAGAAACACATATATACACACACCATACGGTTAACAAATGGACGCCACAAACAATCAAATGGTATAATCATCCAGACTTAACCTAAACCCTCCAGGGCCCCCAAAGCCGGATTCCATAAACAGGACAAAGCAGAATAACATGTAACCGGCGCCTTTAAGAATGGGATAGAAGGATAGATAAAAGCAAATAAAAGTAAGACCGGGTGGCGTCAGGGGGATGGGTCCCTCAAGGATACATGCAGCGATTGCGGTTGCTCAAGGGTCAAGGGTCAAGGGTCCAATGCCCCTGCCATGTGGTGTCACAAAGACAGCCGAAGCCTGCATGAGGTACCACCTGCAGGAGTCGAGGTGGCGGAAAAAAAAGCCCAGGGACCGAAAAGAAATTAAAAAGAGAAAGAAAAAAAAACAAAACATCGTGATCATGATTTTCCGAAGTGCAAACACCATTCCGTCCCATTCGCGATAGAGAAAAAAATTACCCTCAACATATGAGCCTTCTATCCGTAGCTGGATCCTGTTCACGCCGGTGAATTCCCTCCTGATGCTGTTGAAAAAGCCGAGTATTGGCTGTAGCTGTGCAAATTGGATGTGAGGGTTAGGTGCGACCTTGGCGATGCAATCCTTGGCCGATCCGGTGAGCCTCTGTGCCGTCATCAACCAGTGTCTCCTTGAACCACGGGTGCTTCAATGCCTCCTTGGCAGTGATGCGGTTCTTAGGATCGTAGACAAAGATCTGTTGAAGCAAGTCCAGGAATGAACGGTTGAATGGTGTGTTGGTAGGGATGAACTCCTATAGTAGGCGAAATCGGTTAAAGAAAGTCCCACAGGCAGATAGATATGCGAAACACTTACTGTCAAAGATTTCATCGCACGCACATACTTCCGCGAAGCCCGAGTTGTTTCAGTGTTGGGATAGTCGATCTTGCTTCGGTTGAAATACCTAGTAAAGTTAGTCACTGTCACAGAAGAATTGGAGGGGCCATATTTACTTGGAAGCAGAGTTGCTACTACCACCTCGGCCTGCCATGACTTTCTTCACCAAAGCGGTGTCGATTCGATTGCCAATGACGGATTCCATCATCGCCAGGTGTTCCAGGTTGTCATGTGTCTGGAACAGGGCATCCCCAGTGAAGAATTCCACCAGGATACACCCAATACTCCAGATATCACATGGGAAACTCCAGCCCAGGTTTAATATAATTTCGGGGGCCCGGTAGTGACGAGTGGAGACGACAGATGAGTGGTATTCGTCATCGAAGGTCGCCGAACCGAAGTCAATGAGTCTTATTTCACCATCGAGGAGAACGCGGCGTTGCCGCGCGTTGCGAGCTGTGGCGTGAGAAGAGGATGGTATGGTGCGGTTGTAAGTGAAGGTTTGATAGGCGTTGCTGACGAGGAGGATGTTTTCGGGTTTGAGGTCGGTATGGATAAGGTTTAGGTCATGAAGGACTAATAGGTCAGTGGTCTGAGAGATAGGTATAAAGAGATGAAGAACATACAGGCAACACTTGTGAACAGCTGCCGGGCAAACTGTTGGATCTGACTGCTCGGGAACGGCACAAAGCCATTCCCCTTTAGGAAATCGAATACGCTTTGTCCTAGTAAGTCGGTGACAATGCAAATGTGATTCCGGAAGTCGAAGCAGTCCCGAAGGTGGATACATTTGTTGCGGTTGCTTTTGTCGTTAGAAGCCAGGGTTGACAGGACTCGCAGCTCGATTCGAGATGCGTCACGATACTTTTGGATCGAGCGAATGATTTTGACTGCACAGCGAGCCTTGCGCTGCTTGTCATAGGCTTCGACAACTTTGCCAAACGTGCCTTGCCCTAGAAGTTTGATCACAGAATCTCGAAAGAAGTTAGCATAGTCAACAAGATACTAGAGATATCTCTTGTTACTTACATCGATCTGTCAATGGGGTGTCGGGCGTGACAATGTAATGGCCATCGTCATCGTCAAACTTCTTGTTCTGGGAACTGGTGTACTGATCGAGCAAATCTTGTCAGTGGATTCGCACGAACGAAATGGATAAGACAAAACACTCACATCGCGAACAACCGGCACAGGTACATCCTTTGCTTTGATCGGCGGCTTCGGAGGTGGGACATAACTCAGGAAAGCGTCGCCTGCGGTCTCTAGCTCTCGTCGCTTCTGTTCGTCGCGGGTGGATTTCCGAGTGGCACGTTTCCGCTTCTGACCGACAGAGCCATCATCATAGTATACACCATTGCTCGCCGCCCCCGAACTGCCCTGTGAACCAAGCGAAGTTGGGGCTGTTGTGTGTAAAGATGCGGTTCGATCGGTCGATAAGGACGTGGCAGAGGATTCCTCGCCGTAATGTTGGGGATTGATTGAAAATGACGGGCGGTCATAGTGGCCCAGGTCATAGGCAGTTTCAATCCCCGTCCGTCTCCTCTTTCCAGCGGGCTGGGGAGCCGCAGGAGGTGGTCTGGCAGATGTAGTTGCAGGAGGAGCCGGGGCACCATTGGATGGTTCTGGACCGGGACTGTCATCGATCACAATGACTTCCTTGGGAAGACCATTCTTGTAGAACTCGGTCCAGTCTGGTTTCTTTCTCCGACTCCCAACAGAGGGAGCGGCGCTGGAGCCACTCTGGTGGGTCATAGCCGACGGAGTTGTTGTCGCGGGGGGCATTCTCGGCGGTTGCGTGTAGGGAAGGGTGGTCGTTGTCGGAGAGGCGACAGAAATGGCGTAGGGGTTCGCGAGGCGAGGTCCTGCGGCCGTAGTCGAAGTCGGGTAGGAGGTATTCGGTTGATACGAAGGGTGGTGAGGATATCCGTAACCCTGATGATGAGAAGGATGTGTTGCAGTAGCTGTGGACGGGGTGGACATTGTGCACGAAGGTATCCCGTCACACGAACGGTATGAAGGTTGTGGAGAGAAGAGAAGATTGGTCTAATTTATGACCGATAGTCGATTTCGCGCGTCACGCTTCCTCGGTGGAGATGGAGATCTCAAGGCAGGACTAGCCAGCCAGAGAGGAACCAAGCCGACAGAGATTGAGGTTGACAAGCGTGTCCGGAAGGAGATTCTCTGGAGACGTGAAGATGACGGGCTGAGGCGGTCGGTGAGAGAGGGGGATAGACAGTATCAAATGCGTTGCATTTCCTCGACAATTTGAAGACAAGGAAGTGAAGCAAAGATCATTGGAGGACTTGGCGACATCTGTGGTAAACGAGGTGGGGAGGGAAGGGCCTGGAGGCAAAGATGAGTGATGATGGAAGAGTCGGAGAGATGGGACCCGTTGCCGATCAACCTGGGATTTTACATTTTGGCCTATGAATTCTTATGATCTTCGTTATAATTCTAATTCGTTGCCTGGAATATACTTAATTAGTCTTATTAATTTTTATATTCTTCGTTTTGTAGACCTAATTCAACTCCCTAACTGATTAAATACACATGTTATACGCATGTTATGCGTTATTTGCCTAGTCTATACATGCGCAATGGGAAAACCTCAACCTAGAGAGGTCCATGCGCCTCTAGGGAGAAAGGATATGATCTCCTCATTCCAACACCTGAATGTAATAAAATATAAATTAAAGGATTTAGAGCCCTAGAGGGGCCTTGAGGGGGCCTTGAGGGGGCCCGCCACCGGAAATGGAGCATCGCGTCCAAGCCCTGGCTTAGCCGAAGTCCACAAGGAAGAGCCTCGATAGTTAAGAATATCGGGAATATCAAGAATACCGCAGTTCAAAAGTATATCAAACTTTATAACCTGGAAACCAGGAAACCAGGAAATCTTAGGAAAACCCAAGAAATCGCCGATATCAGGAGTCCGTCACCCGGGTATATCACCTGGGCACCTGACATTCCAACTGAGTCAGCATCCAGCTTGGTCTGGGGGAAATACGCAATAGGCTTGCGTATAGATGCTAATAGTAATAATACCTAGGCAATACTAAAAACTGATGGGTTGGTCTTCAATGGGCCATTGGTTTAAGTTTAATATAAGAGAAGGAAAGGAAACGGGAGAGAAGGGGTTTTATAGAGGCCATAGGACAATAGTAACGGGATATATATAGTATAAGTATATCAATTGGAGAAAACTAAATAATAATTATATGTATGGTTGTCTGGATATTTATAAGCTGTTAGGCTCCGGTTACTGGATTAATGTAATCAATAGGGGTCGGATTTCCGAGCAAGATATGTATATCTACAAGGCAGTTCAAAAGTAACCCTAAGTAGATACTAGTGTCTACTAATCACAGCCACTATACTCCCTATATTGATATCCAATTGATTTGACAGAATAATACTCCGTAAATAATACTCGAATACCTTTGACCGTTGCCTTGGCCCTAAATAATTCGTATTGCCTAAACAGGATATATCTACGCCGGCCTAGCGTGTGGCTGTGAGAACTAGAAAGTAGCGACTCCCACTAGAACCATGCCTCTGGAATTGGAATTTATAATCGAGAATCGGGTACATAGAAGATGGAAGAGCCGCAGTAGAGCTATTGACATGATCCAGTTACTAGTACGTGTGGCCAAGAAACTATAAACATATCCAAGAGCAACGGGAGAAGGATAATGTAATGAGGTACAAGAAAGTTGCTAGTTCCTCTATCCTCCCACGAGAGACATATGCTCATCCTGTAGTTGAATGGAATTAAAGATCATGGCTTGACAACCGGACAACCCCCATAAGCCAGCCAACGCCACCATACACAGAATGCAAGAACTCCAGATGCCCGGAGCCACAGGGCTCCCATGGGCCAAGAAAAAAAAAAAGAAATGAGGGGCACAAGAAAATAAGATTACAAACATTTATGACCCGGTCAGTTTCGATCCCGATCCTCTTTGGGGTCCTTCAGGTAACCCCTTTGCACATGCCGGGTCGCCCGTCCATCCGCCTCCAGCATGAACAAAATATCTCTGACCTGAATACCCAACCCCTTCTCTTGATCTTCACGCCATATTCCGAGGCGACGTTGGGTCTGACTGGGTGTGGATTCACCAGCACCGGACTTTTCAGGACCGGCGGTGGGCGTGGAAGGAGTCGGACGCGAGGGAGACGAGAATCCACTGGATTTGCCGCCAGGCTTCAGCCATGAGTATGACTTTTTGGCACCGAACATACTGCGGCCGCCTCCGGACAAAGCCATGCGGGCCGTCTCCACAGACTGTGCATGCTGTTGGGCCTCGGTTGCTTTGGAATCCTGCATTTTCTTCGCGTCTTTCTTGCTGACTGACTTTTTGTCAAGGCTAGGTGCCCTTTCGCCAAGGGGCGTCGAGGGCGCAGACCCTATTGGATCCACAGACTCAGCTCGACCAGCCTCATCAAGAATAGCATTGCTGTTGCGTTTGGCACGCTTTGCTGCGCGTCTTTCCTCTTGCGAGCTCTCCCGGTGGATGAATGCTCTGTATCTTGCCGCATTGGACTTTGTGTTGGAAGAATCAATGGTACCATGAGGACCTGCCGAAATAGTTAGTATAAAGTCAGTTGAGTGGGTGTGAGGAGAAAAATCGTACGTTTCACGGGAGTTTGAGTGCTCCCCGTGGCCTGCCCAAGGGGTTTTGCGACATCTTTCCACTCATTGGGAACTATGCCATGCGAATGTGCTCGGCGACTTCGAGCAAGAGTCGAGGCGTAGTCAATGACGCCCCTGAATCTTTCTTCGGTGGAAATAGATAGAAGATTCAGTATGTCCACGAGAGGAGCACCTTCCTGGTTGAGAATTGTCTGGCCGGTGCGCACCACAGAAGAGCCATCCGGACCAGTAACTTCAATCGGTTGTGGTCGGCCAGGGACGGGATGGAAGAGACCCTCCGAGGGGATTCGAACACCCAAGTCAAAGCCTCGCTTCTGAAGCTTCTGTTCGAGGAGTTTTGTGATCAAGAACGGTTCTTGGATGTGATACTGTGCTCGCCTTGCTGCAATAGTGTCCTCGCGAGTCGGTTCATTGGGGTCTTTGAAGGGAACATGTGCCTGGGTGGACGGGCCAGTGAACGAATCGTGCGTGGTTGCCGGTTTGATTTGAGGTAAATCACCGAAGCTGGTCGAAGCCGAGGGGGTTCCTGGCGTAGAGCCTTGAGACGTGAAGGAGGTGTTGATAGGTGGCGGGTATTGAGACTGTGGTCCACGATGGGAAGGCTGCGCCTGCGCATTCTGCCCTGAAAAGCTCTGTGTGAGAAATGCTTCTTCTTCCCTCACATCAATTCCAGATGACGCTAGGACATCCGTCAGCTCAGCAGCATCAGTTGTTTTGTCCACTGGGCGAGACGGAGGACCCATGGTTCCGGGGGGAGCGGGGGCAGACGTCGCAGACATGTTCATGTTCATGCTCATATTCATCGGGGCTCCGTTCATTGGAGAGGGATTTTGTGGTAGCTGCACCGCGTTGAAGCTCGGAGAACCGTAAGGAGACTGGGTTTGAGAAGGCGGCAGAGGAGAGAGGCGAGGTCGTTTGGATGGAGGAGGTGCAACGCCTCCATTCACAGGGGATGCTACCGAGTTTGGGGATGGCGACGAGACAGGTGGGGAGAAAGGTTGAGAGGAAAACTGCGGCGGCGGGGGTGCCTGCTGCTGTGGATGGCGAGCTTGTGCCATTGTGAATGCCGATTGAGACCAAAATTGAATGTCAAATGAGATATAGGCTATTGCGCCGAGCCGTCGTAGCCTTGCAGATGAATGGAGGTCCACGCGCGGTCGTTAAATTGAGCGGATTGCTCGCACCACCAGCTTCCACCACCTTTGACCATCTCAATATTGAATTTAAGCCATATACGCGACACTTGAATCGTAAAATAGTTGAGTCGAGCACAAAAACCAACAGTAATCGGGGAGACAGTGATGCGTGATGTGGTAAGGAGCTTTCTAGGTGGTCGAACTCTGCTCCGCGGATCGCGACACACGTGACTAAGCTTGACTAAGCTCTCCAAATCTGCGGGTGTCTCGTTGTGAAAGAGGTCACTCTTCTATTGAGACACATTGAAGTTGTCACAAGTGCATTGGCGGCCTGCTTCTATACCTGGACCAGCTGCATATATTATAGCCTTTGTTGCGCAAGTCATGGATGTTGCGCTAAGGTCATATTGAGATCTTAGGCTTTATCGTGCGACGCGCGGGTGCTAGTGCCATTCAACTAGGCTTCTCAAACTCATATTAAGAATCCGTCAATCTCCTAACATATTACCCAATTAATTCTCGACATCATGACGTCCAAACGCAAAGCTTCAGCAATGGGAACGGCTGTTGACGATGAGCCCGTTGACCCATCAGACGAACTGGCATTCTACTGTCTCGGCGGCGGCAATGAAGTTGGACGGAGTTGTCACATCCTGGAATATAAGGGCAAGACAGTGATGGTAAGTCTCAAGCTGGAACAAGGATTGAAACAAGGAGTGAACTCGCAGATACTGACCTCCTTGGCTTCTGTAGCTCGATGCGGGCATGCACCCAGCAAAAGAAGGCTTCTCCGCACTACCTTTCTTCGATGAGTTCGATCTGAGCACTGTGGATGTTCTTTTAATCAGCCAGTACGTGCATCTCTTTTATTTACACTATATACGGAATGATGGCAAGCACGATGGGAGATCATACTGCACTTGCCCATATGAGGCACCTGGGTTATTTGGCAGTCTACTGCCTCAGCTGCCTCAATGGAAGAACACATTCCTCTGCATATATATGAGAAAGCCCAATACAATTCAATGTCATGCCTATATTTCTTGTATCACTGTACCTTCTTGAGTCTTGAATTCGAGTGCTTTCTCCTTCGGCGTGTTTGTTCATGGTTATCCCATTTGACTAACAGTATGATCTGTATAGTTTCCACGTCGATCATTCTTCCGCCCTCCCATATGTTCTCAGCAAGACAAATTTCAAAGGAAGGGTCTTCATGACTCCGGCAACACGGGCAATCTACAAATGGCTCATTCAAGACAATGTCCGAGTCAGCAATACATCCTCTTCCTCCGATCAACGCACTACACTATACACCGAGCGTGATCACTTATCAACACTTCCCATGATTGAAACAATCGATTTTTACACAACACATACGATCAATGGCATCCGTATCACCCCGTATCCCGCAGGCCATGTTCTCGGAGCTGCCATGTTCAAAATTGATATTGCGGGACTTGTGACTTTGTTTACAGGAGGTGA